GCTACAATGTAGCTTGCCATCACCAGTGTGTGTAAATGGGTGAATGACTGAATGTAGTGTAAAGCGCTTTGTGGTCCTTGGGGACTAGTAAAGCGCTATACAAATGACTAAAACTAAATGATGTTTTAGTCAACAGAGTTTTTTTTTTCTTGGAAATTTCAACAGACCAACAACAGAGTTTAATAAAATTGAATCATAAATTGCTGTTAAATTATCACTGGCTGTCACATAGTAACAACAACTCTACAATGTTGATATTTGTGCTACAATCTGGACTTACCGAGCCTTCTTACAGTTCCGCACAGCTGGGATTAGCCGCTGCTGTCCCTCCACTGTGGTGTTATATTTTGTCAGATCCAACTCATCCAGAACCTCCTCTGACATCTGCAGCATGTAGGCCAGAGCTGAGCAGTGAATTGCCGAAAGTTTCTCTGATCTGTTCTCTGACTTCAGGAACTCTTCAAGCTCCTGATGTATTGAGAAGTCATTCATCTCCATCAGACAGTGGAAGATGTTGATGCTTCTGTCAGGAGAGATTCTGTGGGTGTTCATTTCCTTCAAGTTGTTTATGGCTGTCTGGATCATTTCTGGCCAGACCTCTGCCTGGACAAGCAGGTGGCCTAAAAGTCTCTGATTGGATTCCAGAGACAAACCATAAAGGAATCGAACAAACAGGTCCAGGTGTCCATTTTTACTTTCAAGGGATTTCCCCATCACAAGCGTAAGAAAGTCAGCTAAGGAGGGGATAACATAACCAGAGTTGGAAAAGAGTTCAGTATTACCATCAGAATCTTCATCATCAAAATCTTCATAATCAGAATCTTCATCATCAGAATGACTGTTTTGATACTCGCAGTTTTGCTCCAAGAATACTTTCAATACCTCTGTGTTTTTGTTGGTGTAACAGTGGAACATGTAGACTGAAGCCATGAACTCCTGGATGCTCAAATGAATAAAGCAGTAGACTGGTTTCTGAAGGATTAAACAGTCTTTTTTGAAGATCTCTGTGCAAATTCCTGAATACACTGAAATATCTGTGACATCTAGACCACATTGCTCCAGGTCTTCTTGGTAGAACATGATGTTTCCTTTCTCCAGATGTTCAAACGCCAGCCTCCCCAGCTTCAGAAGAACTTCCCTGTCAGCCTCCGTCAGCTCCTGTGGACTCGTCTCATGTCCCTCGTGGTACTTGTTCTTCTTCCTCTTTGTCTGAACCA